ACACAGACTTATGTCAAGTCAAGACTGCATTTCGTGCTAATCAATTAGGCTTCGCCCACCTGCTTGTCGCCAATGGCAAGCCAATTAAATGTTTTGTTCTGATTTTCTGGGCGAAATCCCAGAATAAAAGTCTAAAGTGGGAGACCCTGGCCCGAACATGAAAGCTGCATCAATAGCGAGACAAGGTAACATGTCTAAACATAGATCTATACTTCATAACAGACATCGAATCTATGGAATTGGAAAACATGCCTCCATTATCAAGCTACTCAGAGCCATAGGTTATACTTTAATGGGATGACCTACTGAAAACCTTCTCACTGTTATTTTAAAACTAACGTGGGTGAATGCATTGAAGTTTCTAAGTTGATTTGCAAATTTAAGCGTAATGCTGTACTTCAGTAGCCTGCTTGAGTTTTGGTTGAAAGCGCAGAATTCCCAAGAGATACAGGATTAAAATACTGAACTCCAACAACAAAACTTTAACCAAATGAAGAGGCCTTCGTTTAATCTGAAGTGTGTTTTTCTGTCAGTTCGCAAGAAGAGTCTTCATTCTATTATTGAACCGTTGTCATGCATCGTGTCTTCTTCCATGTGTCGGCAAAACACGTCAATCCGTTTTAATCACGTACCAATGAGTCGGAATCTTTTCTTCGGGATGCTCTCATGAGTGAAATCGGTTTGAAACGACCTTTGGTTTGGGCTCATCATTCGGATAAATCGTCTACCTCCCTCGGCGCATGGTGTTCTTTTCACAGACATCACAAGATTCAGCTCAGAGATCGAACGACCCTGGAAAAAAATCCCCTCCTTTGATGGATCTGCGTTCTGTAATCTATCACTAATAGAGATCCAAGCATATAAAAGTCAGATTTACCAACAATTTAACTCGGCAATTTCACCCTATTTTCAGGAATGTAATGCGACACTGCCATAAATTACTGATGTAAAAAATAAGTAATTAAAGGTCCAATGACCTCTTTTAATTAGATTAACGATTGATCGACAGCTGACAACGTATAGTGTGCATGTATATATAAACCGAATTACTTGGGACAGTTGTTAATTAGCGAGAATTATTTCCTTTATAAATCGGCCAAGAACACTTTCACAACATTGTGGGATAAAAAGTCAAGTCAAATTGATAAAATCGTTCCTAAAGTAAACTTTTAACTGCTCTTTCTGTTTTACCGCCTTTGGTTGTGATATAAAGTCGGTTTACTTCATGTATTTATTTTGATGTGTAAGGAACATAATCCATGTCCGTGTGCACCTTATTAATTAGCATTGTTGCAGCGCCCCCACGCGGTCAAATGTGGCGAAACAGACTTTTAATTAACAGCACAAGCCGCTATAGGCAACAAATCCTGTTTAACTGTTTAGTGACATCGAATACAGATCCTGTGAAACTGATAATCCACTTGGCGCCACTTTTCTGAAATCTTACACCAAAACATAAACTTTCTTTTCTCTAAATTTAGTAGTCGACCCGTAAGGTGAAACGTTGTTTAAAGTACTCAGTATTGGCGTCGGTTGTTCTATGAAACTTGACCAAACTGACCCCGATAGGGTTCTATAATTGAACTTGCATAACTTCTTTCAATCAGTGAACTTATATGTTTTCCCTCTTTATTAAATGCCTTAGATTTTAGGACGTATACCTTTGATGGAGAAGGTAACATTGTCTCATAAATTAAACATCGCTGAGTTATTGAAGTACTAGTTCGATATTTATCGAACATTATTTTGACCATTGGACCGCATGAGTATACTTTTCATCATTGCAACGTCAAGCGATATCCAATTTAATTTTTTGTCTTAGGAATGAGATTTTATGACGTATGTCTCCCGATGACGAGCAGAGCATACTGTTCGAAACGTCGAGTAAGGCAGCAAACCTCCCATTCGTCGTCCTAGAAATTATCCTAAATTGTTCGTCTCTGCGATGTAAGACTGATATATTTCTGGCTCACTGGCCATAGAGCCTATCCTTTCATGTTGTGATGTTCTGGTTTTAATGAACTCTCCATGGTTCGCTTCTAAAGGCGAACCAAGAACCCCTGTAGGGCCCTGCAGTAATTGTTCATTATCGACAAATGTCAAGGTGGCGAGTTTCAGCCATTTACTATCTCGCCTCTGCCTTTTATACATAATGCTATCTTGTTTTGCATGTAATATACATGTACAACTTTTTTGCTCCCGAAAATATCCTGCTGAAAATGTTGACTTTCTTAAGTTCAAAGTGTGATTGGTTTCCTTTTTTTGTCGTGTTTCAAGTTGTGGTAAGGTGTGGGTTTCCTGTTTCAGATATCATCGGGTTTACAAAATGCATCGTGACATTTTCATTTGGATGTTAGATTGCCTTCACAGCAGTCGTAGCCCCGGGCTGTTTCTCATCATTCCACATGGCTGGCTCCCGCGTAACACCCAAGTTCTTTCCATTTTCCCTCGGGAATCTTGACGAGGAATTTCCCCTCAAATTTGTTAGCTCACGCGGTCGTTGATGTGAGGTCTCGTCACTTGCTAAAATTTTTGGTATCAGTTTGGAAGCACGGAGTATCGTAGCCTCTGGCATGACGGTTATGATGTGATCACTGTCATTCAAGAAAAATATTATAGTTTTTGCCTTGAGACTATGTATTCTAGACACGTACAGAACCATACAACGTTGTTGTCCGGTAATACACCGTAATCGCCCTTAAGAAATTCATATTTAGAGAAATATGTAGCACCAAAAATAATTATGACTGGTAAGCCAATTTAATAAGCTACTTTTAGATGAACAAAATTACTTCAATTGCTCAATCCGTTCAAATTATATCACTGTATTTAAACCCTAAATTATGTTTCGTCCAAAAATGCGATTCCAAGAATTGTCGTTACAATTGCCTTTTAACATCACCAGCGATAAAGATCAGTTAAAAAGTTATTCAAGAAAGTCCTTTTGAAGGCCCGTCTTTAAAAACAGGTGGATTTTATAAATCCTATTTTTAGCCAAAGCAATATGTTGTGTACTACAGTTGTTAAAACAAGAATTCTGTGTCATTTTCTTTGTTGTGCCAAACAGTAAGAACACACAATAAATTGCTTTTATTTTGACAAATCTGATTTTAGGGGTACTTCGTTAAAAAAAAATGATAAAATTGTAAACGTGTAGAGCAATTGAAATGATTTTCTCACTTAATAGTTGTTTTATTAAATGGGCTTCCAATTAAGTCATAGTTAATTTTGGTGTTACATAGTTTGTTTTATATGAAATATATTTGTTTGTTTTGGGTCCGCTTTTTTGACTCGCCCTGTATAAAAAAGACAACTTTTTAGAGCATTGTCACACCAGTTCAAATCGTCAATCATCTGCATAACACTTCATTTGCTCTTACGGAACCTAAGGCTCTCGGCGGGATTCTAGCCCACGACCGCTACTTTGGAAGTGCAACGCAAGACCTAATGACCCCTCTAATTTCTAGGTTGGGGAGGTTTAAAAAGACGTCTTTGCCTTGTTGGTATAGCAGGAGATCGTGGGTAGAGTTCCGTCTGACCAAGCCTATGATGTAACTTTTCTCAAAAGGAATGACATCGCTGAACTTACAGCAATAACATTAGGCAAAATCCCTGTCAAGTTTTCATCACCCACCGAATTCCATTGTCAGCCACCGTCAATGTGGCACCATATTAACATCATATAAATACACATTCAATCATGTTATCGTAAGAAGCATTTCGTACATTGTTTTGATAGCTTCCCGGAGTATGTGATCACCACTTACTTAAAGTACACACTGACTCCTACGTCTCTCCTTGAACTTAAGTTAAAGATAGTTTTCGATATCGGAGATCAAACACTCGCATTCCTTAGCTCTTATCAGAGATATCTGATTATTTTTGGCTAGCCGGCACTCTGCCAATCAATTATGATTCAGTCTTGCAGGACATGCGATCCTTCTTATCGAGAGCAAAATGCCACAGAAAGTTTAATATTTCACAGAAAATATTTGGAATCTTTTGATAAGATTGTTGGAGGTAGACGCCTAATTTCAGGGTCAGGATTTGACAGGAATTCTGATCACAAGCAGAGCTGTAGAGGGCGGTCTAGTGATTTCTATGTCAACGGATGTTTCGGGATTTAAACAGGAACAACAATAGTCTGCTGCTTTTTCCTCCTTATCTCCGCATGGAGGCCCTTTATTTTTCAATTTTTAGCTATGAACTTGATATGAAATGAGGCGAACATGAAATGTCAGTGCACAGAACACTCCCTTCGTTGTGGAAAAAAAAATGCGAATTGGAGAACTGACGAAAATGCATTCAGATACAACAGAAAGTTTAGAATTCCACATGTTCGTTCACGCCTCCATCTTGCTGGATTTCTGCAAGTGTTTCTACGATGTTCAGGTTCGTCGATACCCTATCGTACTGGATTTCTTCGACCGGACGACATCGCTCCCCTCCGTACCTGAGTTATTCCTAGGTCAAGAAATACGCGGGTCATGCAACAGCACGCGTGGCACGTCCCAGGAATGGTTGTGAATCTGTCACTAAGATACCTCCGCTGATATAAATTTGCGGCACCGTTTCCTGTACTGATGCTCCCATTTTGGCCAATTAAATAGTTATTTGCTGTTTCGGTGGACCATCATTGGCATTCTCTGAGGGGAGTGTTGAGTGGGACAGTAAATCACGCGTGCTGTAATTTGGTCGTAATTTAGCCGGCCACAAATTGCAAGTTGCGGCGTGTCCCAGGTTGAGCTGGAAAATTCACAGATACTCTTTCTGTTTACCACGGCATATTGCATGAAAAGGCTTTTCACTACGGGAAAATATATTATACACCTGTTTACAAACAACACACTTGTTAATGACGTCATACTTATTCAAATGACGATGTTGACGTGAGTGTGACGTTACACCCGTCTTGCTAAAGTCATAAGCTTTTAAAGAAATTTCTTGTTTTATTGCTGCGATGTGATTCTTGGATGGTTGTTCATTTGTTGTCGTTTCAGAGGACACATACTCGAAGGAAGATGTCATTGATAACCAGACGATGCTAGTTCGTCTGATGGACACTGCACACGGGGTAAATGAACTAAAACAAGCTTGATTAAAACTCCCCATCCCCGTCAGAATTCTGACTCAGTCCCTTCAGAACTTAAATTCGTTCTTGCCTATAAGCAGTTGCTTCAAAATTTTAGATAAGACTTTTCTCTTTCCTACATTTTCTTTCTGATGTGATTTCTTTTTTCTTTAGGATGCAGAGAACCTTGAGCGTTATATTCAATGGGCCGATGGCCTAGTGGTCGTGTACAGCATTACCAGTAAACACAGCTTCAACTATGCCAAGAATCTCCTTCAAGAGGTCTCCGAGTTACAGAAGACGAGGGATACCCATGAGGCACCTGTTGTGCTCGTGGGAAACAAGAACGAGATGGAAAGATACAGGTTAGATGTGCTACCGTTGAGGGCAGCATTCATGTCGGATATGTACCGTTGAGGGCAGCATTCAAATTATAACTTTGAGCGAAAATTCTATTTTCTTGCCGGATTTATGCAGTGAATTTAAAGTGCATACACGTGAAAGACATTTAGAACAAAAGTTAAAGTCCTCAGCAGCACTTGAGGGGGTAGACAGAAATTGGAAGTACACAATGTCTCTGTTTCACAAATTGAAATGATTCAATGATTTGAAATTATTTAGCTCATTTATTTCAATTTAATGCCTTTTTGTTACAGTTGTCCTTACTTTTATGTTTGTGGTTTCTTTTGACGCACAGGCAAGTTAGCAAGCTGGACGGTAGCTCACTAGCCACGCAGTACGCATGCTCATACCACGAAGTCTCGGCCGCTGGCGAATTCGAGGATGTGGAAAATGTCTTTCACGAGACTGTGCGCGAGATTCGGCGAGAAGCTGAACGACACATGCCCCTTAAGCCGCTGTTTATTAGCGAAGAGAAGACTGTCCCAGCCTCGCCGCCCTCATCGAGGAAAGACCGCGATCGTGCAAAATCTCCGCAGCCTAAGGCGCCCAGAGTACTGCAAAAGAGAACAGTGTCTAGCTTCAAGTTCTTCAACAAAGGATTCAAAATATTTTGAGGAAGGAATCGGTCGTCTTGGTGATTTTACCTTGATTTTAATTTAGACTTGATATCGACAGCCTTCATTCACTAAGGTCATGTGATCGCTTGACCTCCATTTGGTCTACCCATGGTCTACCACTGAGCTTTTCCAATTGTGAAATATCAAGAAATAGCCCTTGGATATTAGTTCTCGCCCGTGACACAGGTGGAAGGCATTGTGATCTAACGGTATTCAGCGTGAACTCCCAAGGCTGATCTCGGTCTACAGTGACCATCGTGGATTTCACCTCGGCAAAACGGCTTCAATGAAAATCAGGTGACTTGAACAGGTATTCAACACCTGATGTTTGTTCATTGTGCCAACCTGGTGACCCGATACTGACAGGTGTCAATAAATGCCTGTGGATATCACGTGGCACTAGCAGGTGGCGATCACCCGTGATTGATTAATATTGTCCAACCTTGTGACCCGATATGACATGTGTCAACCAGGTCAATTACCTTCCTCCACCACCTGGGATAAACACCTTGCACTTTCAAGGGAATGTGATAACTTTTTTAGAATATAAATTGTTGGGTCTTTAAATAGATCCATCAATAATTCCCAAAATGTCTTTTACATTTTGTTATACCCTTCGGGTTTTAGGGATCCTAACAATAGGGGACCATCCTTTTGCTTTACAATGTCTGTAAGTAGTTTTAATAAGGCCAAAAAAAATAATGTCAGTCTCTGGTCAGCGCGCGCGTCGATTTTAATCATGCGCGTCGATCTTTTTTTTTTCCAAAATGTTACGCGGAAGCTCCAACAGCGCCCTCTATTTCCGCACCTCATTTTTTTTTTACCAAAGAGCACCAAGGAATGGGAAATTGCACCAAGGCAAATGATCGAAAGCACCAAGGCAAATTATGGAGGACACCAATGTACATGAGGACACCAAAAAAGCAAAAGAGTACCACACCTTGTCTGTACAATCTAAGCTTGAAGAAGAAAAAAAGCCCCCCCCCCAAAAAAAAAAGCCGCGTGGCCGCGTCAATTCCGGAACTTTGGTCTGACCAGAGACCGAATATATTTTTATTTGGCCTAACAAAAGTAAGATGACATATGCCAGGTCTTTAAGATGGACACAAATACACTGGGATGTCTTGCTGTTCATACCGTGCAGGTAAAAATGATTCATTCAAGAATGGATACTTTTTCTTGCAAAAACAACCAAATACGGCATAATTATGTTTTAATTGTGTACATTTTATGATGCAGTACTCTGTGTATTAGCATGTGATCAAAGTTATTTCCAATAATTTCATAAAAGTATGCTTTTATAATAAGTTGAGTCCAAGATATAAAGGGTTTTATACCTCTGTCTTGATTACTGCACTTTCATTGGCCTAGAACGATCACGTGTTAAGTTTGTAAAGCGTATGTGTAGGTACGGTGTGAAACGCTCGTATCGTTGGTACCCACACTATTTTCACAATGTTTCCACAAATGAGTGGGAGCAGCGATTTAGCAGACGATCAGCTGTTTGGAGCACGCGACATGTATGTGAGTTGACGTTCGATTATCATGATTGTTGTATTTACTGCTGTTTGTTTCCGGGATTTTTACATCAAAATCCAAAGAATCCAAGACAGAGGTATAACAAAACAATTGTTGACTGCTGTAATGTGGGACATGACGTTTTGAACACCCGAGGCGAACGTCATATCCCACATTACAGCAGTCAACAATTGTTAAATGTCGCAATGCAAAAGTGAAGTTTCTCCATTTAATTGTTTGTGTAGAATGTCTCAACATCTTAAAACGGACTGACTATACGTGTACCGGCATTCCACCTGGCCCGCCATACTAGCTCCTAACCCCCCCCCCGTACCCCCCCCCCGTACCCCCCCCCCCCACACTCGAATTAAAATTCCTTGGTCTTGTCTTCTGATACAAAACCTTTCCATTGAGTTTCCACTTTCCAATCAATTATTTTCGTCTTTCAGCAAAATTGTATACACAAATTCTGGAAAAAAACGCCAGTGTGAAAATGTCTGATTTAGTGGGTCATTTTGAGAATCATTTTTCTCCCAAGTCATGGACACAGCTTGTTGTCTATCGGCAGTGTAATGATCAAGAACATTAGGTCTACTTTAACATGATGTTAAAACTTGGCGTAATACTTAAAACGTAAAGTTATTCATAATCGCATTTGTACTTTCAAGGGAAAACGAGGAGTTATGTGTTGTACGTTGGAGGCATTTTTTTGTCGGATGAGTTTCCGTTGCGTTATGCGCCTGCGGTGGAATAAAGTTGATTTTTCCTGAGACAATTCGGGAATTTTCCTGAAGCATTTAGTGATGAAACAACGGGGAGTATACGGCATTGACGTTTAGTTTTCATTTGGAAGCTATACTTTTTATCAATTTCAAATTAACTTTGGACTTGATTTCATGTAATCCATCATAGCATTCATTAATTTATATTTTATTTATATAATGAACAAGAACAATCCATTAAACTGAGACTCATTCTGTTTTTTTCTTTTTTTTGGGGGGGGGGGAGAATTTGAAGATTTTGTTTAGAAAAAATAAAAATTGCTCTCTATATGCGAAGATTTTATCAGCAAGATAAAGTCTATCAGCATTTGGGGGATATGGCGGTCACGAAATAAGGGCGCCATGCGGTTTGGGTAAATTCTTGTATTTAACAGTTACAAATTTAGTTTGATAATTGAAATAGATATGGAGTAGATATGCTGAGGAAAATAAATGTGAACACTGCTTGCCGGATATTTTTGTTGGCATTTTAACTCTTTTCCATTATTCTCCAAATGTTGACAGGTCGTGTGAATGTGAACGTTTCAGGAGGTCTATATTTTGGAGCAAATGTGGACCGTAAGAGGCGCTGTTCACTTGGTACTGAACCAAAAATTGTCGATATTCCTTTCTCAAACGCGCCCTAAGAGGACGCTCTTCATTACACGCAGAAAATGTTGTCGAAAAAGCATATAAGAGGGCGCTATTCATTTAAATATAATAAACAAAAGAACCATAAGAAGGCGCTGTTGCTCTGCGTCCCGATTTTCATTCGTACGATAAGGGGGCGCTGTTCAACAAAAGTTGTCGATCTCTCAAATTTTAAGTACCATAAATTCAATAGCCTGAGGGCGCTGTTCACTAAACGCAATCCTCTCAACTTTGTGCTATAAATTACCCCAGGCTCTTTAAAAAGGGCCGCCCGTCAACTATTTCCGTGATACCCTTGGAAAAAACCCCAAATTCCCGACCCGAGCTTACCTGACATTTTAGCCTCGAGTCTTGCGCTTGTTTTGATACCAAAAACACAAAATTCCGACCATGGGTTACCGGGGGGACACATTTACCAGGGGGGACAGAATTACCTGTCACACGCAGCGACTTTTTCGGCGTTGAAAACTGAATTTTCCAATGTGTAGTGTAGTTAGACAAAGCAGAATTACCATTGGTGCATATGCATAATTAACTAGTCATAATTCCAAAACCCTTTAACCTACAGTCATGAAATTTCTTGGGTATGTTCTTATTAAATATTTCTATGCATGCACCGATGTTGAAAACGTTTTCGATGGCCGAAATCTGTGCCTCCCCCCCCCCCCCCCCCGGCCCCCCGGCTGTGAGTAGTCAAAATAACCCAACCCCTTTAAAATTAAGAAAAGCCAGATAGCTAAACAGATAAATTTCGTCATTCCTCCAACACGTTATTTTGGATGAAATACGAAAGGCCTTCAATTTATATGAAGCCAGCGCAATAAACGAAAAGCCACCCCCCCCCCCAAAAAATAGATAAATTAAAAAAAAACACTGTTATTCTTGAAGAGCGCCCTCAATGGCATCCAGAAGCGCCGCTAAAGTTGACTAGCGCCCTCTTGCGGGAAGGGCACTAAGTGTAATGGCGGAAAGTTCGAACGAGCATCATGATTGTCGTTTTATAAAGGTTAGCGTTTATTTTAACTCTTCCACCGAGAAGGGCTTGAAATATAAGTATTCGAACTATTCACAGGCATTAATTTATCATTCAAGATATGCTTTCGTGGCGTAGGCACTCATAGTTTAAGAAAAGTGGGGAAATAATTGGGCTTGATTTTGTATCCTCGACCTTCCAATGCCATGGCCCATGGGCGCGCATGGCTCATAATCTGCGCAGGTCACACAATTTGAAGGTGAGTGCGTAGAAAAAAGGACCGCGTAGCTTTAGGGGGCTTGCCGACCGTTTCGATTTTTGGTCAACTTCCTCGATGATACATTGTGTATGCTTGACCAGACAACTTACCAGACTGGGACCTGAAGTGTCCTGAAAGTGAAACGTGCAAAATTTCAGGCAAACTTTTTCATGTTTTTGTGGAAAGTTTTCATACGACATGTACGAAGCCTCATACTTTTTTTAAATTAATTTTTAAGCGCCAAAAAGTTGCATCATTTATGGTTATTTCCCCCACTTTCCTCCTCTACTCTCACCCTCTCCTTTCCTTCATTCCTATTTCTTAATCAATCAGTGGTCACTTACTTCATGGAGATTCGAACCTCTGACTGAGTCTTGTGTGAAACAACACTTTTAGTTTTACTAGCCCCATAAATGTGGCCAATTTACTGGACTACATGTACATTGTACCTCCGTAAATAAAGGTCACACTTCCACCATGTACAAAAATATGTAAAACTTTGTCAAATTTTGATTTTCACATTGAGGCTATAGGCCTAGTTGTAGTTTATTTTTGCTTTAGAAGCATACTCACCCTTTTTATAGGCAAATCAAAAAGTGCTGCTTTTTTCAGATGTCTATTTTTCGTGAAATTTCCAGATTTGTTTGCACAAATTTGCGTATCACAATTTCAACATGAAATTTCACGAAAAATAGACATCTGAAAAAGGCAGCACTTTCTGATTAGCATAGAAAGAGGGTGAGTATGCTTCTAAAGCAAAAATAAATTACAAACTAAGCCTAAATGTGAAAATCAAAATTTGACAAAGTTCTACATGTTTTTGTACATGTCAACGTGTGGCCTTTATTTACGGAGGTAATCCAGTAAATTGGCCACATTTATTGGGCTACACTTTTACCACTATTATTATTAAGCCATGCATGGTCGCTTGTTGCAATGATCAATCTGTGGACGCATTTAAAGTATGCATTTTAATAAGACTAATGAATATTGAATAAACTAAATATTTATGAGAAATTAAATATTCATAATGATGTTATTGCATGCCATTGTCCTTGGCCGGCTCACTCATTGTTGATGCCATGCATAACGTACAGCTGTTTTTCCAGACACTTCAATCAACATGGCCTGCTGCCTCCAACTTCGTTCTGCACGACGTGTGCATCCAAAATGTGCTCTAAAAACCCATTTTTCCTATGAATTATTCAGCTTCCTGGATTCGTCTTGGGTGAAATCACAAGTGAGGTGAAAATTGATGTGTTTAGCGGGAGATAAATTGAGGCGTAGTATGGAAAATTGCCTTTCCTTGTATTGCATGTTTTCAATAACTTAAGTTTTGGGACTCTCGTAGTTATAGTGACCATACACAGAATTGAGAAACCCATATTTTTGGACTAATGTTTGACTAGCCCCATTCTATGGCCACGCACTCACTGCTCTGAAGCATGGAGTTTTTTTACGGAAAAAATGTTGCAACCTGACGCCACTTTTTTCTTCATATATCATCTCAATAAAGGTAATTCATTGCAAAAATGATGATAAGACATGAATCTGGGACTGAGAAACATTTCTTAAATTTTGTAAGGAAATACTTTGAAAATTTTCTTGACTCTCCATAGACTTTGTATACAATCGCTGAAGTGGCGTCAGATTGCAACATTTTTATGCCCCGCGGCGAAGCCGAAGGGGCATACTGTTTCCGCCTTGTCCTTCCGTGGGTGGGTGGGTGGGTGAGTTTGTCTTACATACGCAGTGTGGACTTCCGAACAAAAGACGTCCACATAATGTAGGTAGCACCGACGTTGTGTGGACTTGCCCCACGTCCACACAGTGTTTCCCCATTTCTGGAAAACAGGTTTAGAGGCATTTTTGGGTTAGGTTTATCTGTAGCAGAATGAAGAGAAACACTAAAGGGAATCATAGAAAAAAAATTGGGTTGAAAGAGTTTTCACAGTTTGAGAAAAATGAGTTTTTTCACTGGTTTTTCTTAACTACACGAAAGCAATGGAAAGTCCACACTAGTCATGTGAAACAAGTGTGGGTGGGTGGGTGGGTGTGTGTGTGTGTCCGGACAAATCTTGTCAGCGCGATAACTTGAGAAATACTTAACATATGAACTTCAAATTTGGTTTGTGGATTGTTCTTGGTAATCCTAAGAAGCCTTTTGCATTTGGGGCCAAAAGGCCAAAGGTCAAGTTCACAGTGGCTAAAACAATAGAAATCTTGTCAGCGCGATAACTTGAGAAATACTTAACATGTGAACTTCAAATTTGGTTTGTGGATTGTTCTTGGTAATCCTAAGAAGCCTTTTGCATTTGGGGCCAAAAGGCCAAAGGTCAAGTTCACAGTGGCTAAAACAATAGAAATCTTGTCAGCGCGATAACTTGAGAAATACTTTACATGTGAACTTCAAATTTGGTTTGTGGATTGTTCTTGGCAATCCTAAGAAGCCTATTGCATTTGGGGCCAAAGGTCAAGGGTCAAGTTCACAGTGGCTAAAACAATAGAAATCTTGTCAGCGCGATAACTTGAGAAATACTTATTATATGAACTTCAAATTTGGTTTGTGGATTGTTCTTGGTAATCATAAGAAGCCTATTGAATTTGGGGCCAAAAGGTCAAGGGTCAAGTTCACAGTGGCTAAAACAATAGAAATCATGTATTTATTCTGAGATTATAGGGATTAGGGATTAATTCATATAAAACCTACAGAAGACACTAATGCTGTCAGTGAATGTTCCATGTGACCAAGGTACATGTAAGTTGATGTTAAAAGAGTGGTGTTATGTCATGGGAACTGTCACCGTTGCGGGGCATTTGTGTTTGTAAACACACCTGACTTGTTTTCTTTTGCAATAAGCCCTAACCACAATCGAAGGATTCATTTTTTTTTGCAGTGCCAGTGAAGACGACCGTGTTACGCTGGTTATTTGCGTTCCTGTCTCCGACAACGATTACCAAAATGGATGCCAGTAATTTGGATGAACTGAAAGAGACATTTGAAGGCAAGATTGCTGGACTTACAAGATGTATTGACTTATCTTCAGCAGGTAAATATCCCCTACAAGTTTACATAGGTTTAAGGTTAACCTAGCGGTACTTTCCTCGCCTTCCACCGCTGTGGCCCGGGTTCGATTCCCGCCTGGGCCAGTATGTGGATTGGGTTTCCAGTCCCTGCCTGATTCTGTGGGTTTCCCCAGAATATTCCTCTGGGCTTTTCCTCCCACCTCTAAAACTGTAATTTCTTCACATAGTCTTCTCTTCACTGGGCCTACCCAGTTAAAATAAGAATTATAAGAGGGAGTTTTTTAGTTATTCTTGCGAGAACGAATTTCAGGGGGTCAAGATTTTGACTCCAAATTCGAGCTGTTGGGTGCTAGTCGTGAATCGTGCTGTACATGTTCCACTAGTGCATTGCATTCTGCGGACCGTCGGACGTGCGAGATACAACGTTTGTGTATTGGTGCCGTGTGTATTATGTGACATACACACAGTGTCTACCGTACATTGAATGGACACGTCAGGAATACGCATGTATGCCTATGCCACATAATGTGCGCTACGTCAAAAGTAAACAATGAGGGTTTTTTGTCTTTTCTCAGGAACGGTGCGACTTCAAATAACATTATTATGTAAATATTTGTTCATTGACTCTCTTTCAGTTTTGACCCCCGATGGACTTGATGAAAACTGCAGAAAACAGCTAGGAGTGATTCACATGGAGCTGTGCATGGTCGAGTCATTAGTTGGACAAATGAGAGAACTTGTACATTCGGAAAAACAAAAATTGCAGCGGGCAGAGGTAATGTTTAATAGGATCTGTTATTATAACCGACATACAGATCCTTGTCATTTGATTGGTGGAACTCACATCACGTGACATTCGTTATTACTCCCATTCACGCTGGGGCTCAAAAAGTCCCATTCGCCCATGGGGAATGGGAAATACTATTCAACAGTTAGGATCATTCTTGTTCCATGACGTGGTATTTGTGTGCAAATGCATGCTGGTGTGCGCGTTCAGCGTTGCGCGTAGCGCGTATTGTTCCAAAGAGCCAGCACTACAGCATTGGGTTCAAACATTTTCATGAAGGGGTGGTTTGGAAGAGAGAAATACATTTTCCACCAATTTTGTATTGAAATAAAAGTTCAAATATCAAATGACAAGGATCTATATGTCAGTTATATAAAACAAATATTGAGTGGCTTTAAATTGTGAAATGGGAGGAATATTATCGCTCGGTAAAATCTGGACTTTTCCAGTTCACTCGGCTTCGACTCGTGAAATGGAAAAGTCCAGATTTTACCTTGCGATAATATTCCTCCCATTCCACGCTGAGCCACTCAATATTGCAGGGGTGTGAAATCTCAGCTTTAAAGCTGATTTCAGCTTTTTTTATTTTGGATTTCAGCTTTTTTCTTTCACTTGCTGTGTACAAAAGTATAGGGGATTTCCAAAGTTCAGCTTTTTTTACACCTTTTTCTGCTGTTTTCAGCTATTTTTATCAGTGGTCACTCACACCCCTGATATTTGTATAATATGTAAGTGGTTTAACTTGTCACTTGAGAAACTTCATAAAATTCACCAAATATATCCATTCAGCCAAAACAAGGCCAAAATAGGTGCTTTTTACACAATTTTGTATCTCTTCCAAATTTTAGTACATCTTGTCCTAAATGCTTAAAAAATGCTTTCAAACACATCAAAGATTGCAACAATTACTTTCTCAGCAACAGCGCCCTCAGTTGTCCAAAAAACCTGGGAATTTTTAAAGAAGTGCAGGTTTCAATCAAATTCCCCAAAATATGAAGTCACATAGTTTTCATTAATTTAAGAGGAGTAGAAAGTTTCTAAGAAAAAATAATCCCTTGAAACCTTTAAATGCAAAAGGCGTGTAGTTTAGAGAGAACTTTGTGAGTTTACATTAATTTATCTGTATTTCTGTCAAACTTTGCAGTTTTTCTTTTTAATTTCTAGGCTCTTAAAAGCCAGATGGAGGAACAGGCCAAACACATCCGATACATGGAATCTCATTTGCCAGATAGGTTGCCTGGACGAGAACTCAAAACCTCAACTAGCAGCAAAGTCAAGGGGTATGTGTATCTCCGGGACGAATAAAAAAAAATAAAACCCAAATGTCGGGACTATTGTTTTAGCGAAGGTCTGCATGTAGCACTTTCTAAATCTAGAATATGAAAGCCCAATTCATAAGCTTTCTTTTAGTACAAGAATCATTCCAATCACTCATGTACTTTTCAAGTTACGGAATTTTAAACACAATCACCATTTTAAAGTTCTGTCCACGGATCACAAAAAAAGGTAAGTGTTCTTTCAGCAAAACGAATACAATTCACACACATCCCTATGTGATTTGTTTTCATTTTGCTAAAAGAACACTTACCTTTTTGTGATCCGTTGACAGAACTTTAAAACGGTCAAGTTGTTAAAAATTCCGTAACTTGAAAGTTATATAAGTGATTTGAATGATTCTTGTACTAAAGAAAGCCTATGAATTGGGCTTTCATATCCTAGATTTTGAAAGTGCTACATGCAGAACTTCACTAAAACAATGGTCCCGACATTTGGGTTTCGTTTTTTTTTACTAACCCTGTAAACATGTCAACACTAAAATTATGATGTTCCCAACATGGTAGGCTTCATCCATTTTTTTTCTGAGCATGAAAACTAATTATTTTAGTTTTATTATTATCTTATTTCTTTACTTTTTTTTTTTTTTTTATTTTTTTTATTTTTTTTTTTACAGTCGTACCCCCCTGGGAACCGTACAAGACAAGAGTAACCATAGCAACCAAGGAACTCGTCAGCAGAAGTCAAGCAGTAAAGACAAGGAAACGACGGAAGACTCTAAGAAGAGGAAGCCGTCGACACCAACAATGGAGTTTGTGACGGTGGAGGAATTCGAAGGGGTTCCCAAGTAAGTTGACCAACCAAAGTATAGACACTTAGCTTTTCACAGTCATTGAGTTTTTAAAATTTAATTCAGTAACAAAACAAAAGCACACACCTCAAACATGGCTGTCATGCAACGGGTCTATATCACCAAATATCCGTTATTCGTAAATACCCGAGACAGTTTACTCATTCCTATTGGTCGAGAGCCCGACACTTGGGTGGTTTAAGCCATTGATAAAACACACATTGGCTGGTCTTAAACACTTTTCCGGTGTCATGACATTTGGACTCCTATGAAATCTGGTCCCTTTTACCCTTTTATTTGGTTGGACGTTAACAATCTTCACTTAGGCATGTGCAATACTACCAGTGAGTCCGTATTTCGAGAGTATTAATTTCACACTACACCAACACTGCTGCGTTCTGCGCCACATTGCGCAGTAAGTGCCACGCATGCTCTAATCTCCATATAAGGAGATATTTAAGACTACTTGCAAGCAGTATATACAGGGTTCGACCTTAACTTTTCTTTCACTAGCCAGCCGGGCTACTGAAGCAGACTCTTAACTAGCCCGCGGCCATTTTCACTAGCCCGCATGTTTTTCTTTTATAGAGTGTCTCATGAACAACAATGTGCATACATGTAAAATGTGTCGGCAATCTTGTCAGTGTTTTTAATAAACACATCTAATAATTTAACCCTAAACAGTTAACAAAGCTAGACACAAATTGATACAGGTTTGCTTTCTGAATTAAATGATTTATTTCTTCCTGTCCTTTCACCTTTGCCTTAGCCCAATAATTTTTGACTCACCATCCGGGCTACTTAAGGAATAGTTTGACTAGCCCGCCGCTGTTTTGACTAGCATTTGGCTAACGGGCTACCGCTAAAGTCAAACCCTGAGTATATACCATGGCTAAAAGGGTGTCTCAAAAACATGAAGTAAAACTCTTTAACAAAATTGTTGGAAATTTATAATGTTTGATTTGTTCTGACTTTTTGACGAAGGCTCGGGCAATTATCAACATCAAGGCCCCTGAGTTGGTCATAAACGTATGTGTACTTGATTAAACCAGCCAAGCACAATTTTTTTTCTTTTACCGGTAATTATTTCTACATTGCCAAATTTTAATGCACTTTTCCTATATTTTCCAATGTTTTTCTTTGCTTTTCAGATACATGAAGGGAAGGCTAAACTATGACGCCATCAATGCAGCAGTTGAGATCATAAATACGGCAGTGAGTGCTCGATATTCTCTGCTTCACAAACCGAGACACGCATTGGGTGAAAATGCCATGAAGAAAGTACGGCGATTGAAGGAACAGGAGAACAAAGATACCAAAGGTGAGGGTGAAAAACAAAAAAGGTCCTCAAACTAAAAAAGTCAAAGAAACAATAGCACTGGCTGCTAGGTTTAATTTCCTCAATGCCCAAACCACTGATCTCTATAAAAAAAAAACGTGGATAGCATACAGAGAACCGCAGAAGAAAGCCATTTGAGGTCATATTGGACAGACAGGCTGGTGATCTATAAAGGACAAGTTGTCGTCTTTATAGGCAGTTGTGATTCACGGTATTAAACATCGTGGTTCACCGTTTTTTTTTTTTTTCACACTTTTTTTCCACCACAACCGCTGGCCATGGATCTCAGTTTTTCAAACGTTGTAATTCAAGTTTTTTTGAAGGCCGCAGTTCACTTGTTTGCGACGTTTGGAAATATAATCACGACGGAATCTTGTCCTCTATGGAACATCATAACACATATACGTGAACAAAATGCACGTCAACTCTTGATACAGTGCGTTGTATGTACACGTAGAACGTTCATGTATCAGTGACCATTTTTGGAAGACCGAGGCGAACTGGTCAAAATGCAAATTCAACTATGTGACTAGTGTATGGACATCCGCTATCCAGTTTTTAAAGGGCGCAGTGACCATGTGTAGGAAGATCAAACATCAGCAACAGCGCCCTCGGGTGTCAGGAAATATCACAGACATTGTAAAAAGTAAAATATTTGGCCTCTTCAAAAAAGTGAAATCATGGGTGTCCCGTTATTTTTATAGAACGAAATATTTGAAATATGTTACCCAGTGACAACATCGGTATCATTAGTTTATACCTTGGTTCTTTTCGAAAAACTAGTAAAAAAGAAAGTCACACATATAGAAACAGAAATTCACCCGTATGATTTGCCTTTAATTGTCCTCATTTTGGAACTCTTTAGGTGTTTTTTTCTTCACTGATGAAGACTTCAAGGCCAATAGTAACGGCCGCTGCTCGACGACCTCCCGATCCATCTTCACAATCCTACGACACTGTGGACGACTGCGAGAGATACGCAGCGCTGGACTGACGCGGTATGCTCTACTCGTCTGAGACTCCACCCACCAAATTGGATTTGTAAATATGACTTGGCCCAAATTGCATGGCTACGACTTCCAATTACACATGGGCCTATGGAAGCGCTGTAGCCACTTCCCATAGACCTGTGTGTTACTGCTAGCCCTAGCCATGTAATTAATGATCCCATTAATGGCTGTGGCTTTGGGTTGTGCAACTGGCATGGTACTTTGCCTGTCTGTAGTCATAGCCAGTAGCTGCTGATTCTAACATGGCTTACATAGATCTATGGGTGCTGTGGTCCAATGGTTACGGTGTTTGACTCGTGTGCTGTGGTACATGGGTTCAAATCCTGACGGGGAACATGGTGCTTGTGCTCTTGGGCAAGGCACTTTACTACGATTGCCTCTCTCCACCCAGGTGTAGTAAATGGGTACCTGGTAGGAAGAAATTCCTTCAAATGCTTGAGCGCCGTAATGGCAGCCGTGCTAAAGCCAGGGTAATAATAGAGTGCTAAGAGCGACAATTTGTGACGGACATGAGCGATATACAAGAAGCCATTATTATTATTATTATGTAAACTGGGAGATTGAAGCTCATCTAGGAGAACAAACAGCATTGATCTCATTTCGAATCTCTGTGTGATTATGGCTCTACTTCAAAATCAAAATGGGACCAAACGGGAACTTGAGTCTTCAGCTTATGGTTGCAGACCAGTAAATAAACTCCTACTGGTGCTGGGTGAGTATCCCGAGTACTCCAGTATAGTGTTTGCTACTTTTTCTACTCATGGTTTTTCATCGACTCGAGTACTTGTTCTGGCGCAACCATTTCGGTTAAGGAATCACTACCTCCATTTGTTTCCATGGGATTCCACTAGCTCTCTCAACAAATAAATTATCAAGTAAAATGCGCCAACATTTTGCATAGTAAGGATATCTCAGTGCTGAAGAATGTGGTGTGTCTTACACACTGTTTATTCATAGTAACTTATTTCATAATAATGTTTATGCCATTTTTTTCCCCAGTTTTTATGGGAATTTAGTAAACTACTCACGAGAACTTGATTACTCGTGAGTAATTTCTCTGCGAGTTCTTGACATGAAAATCCACTACTCGCCCAGGCCTAGACCTCAGTGATAATTAAGCCCACTTTCAAAAGTTTGGAAACACACTTGAGACACACATCAAATTAAAGCTTATTAAATCATCTTTCATTTTCTGTTCAATTTTGGGGGTTAACCAATGACTTTAGGGAGAAAATTCCATCCAAAGATGATCACCCCTAAAAGTAGTCCTGAAGCCCATCGCCATTCTTAAAAAGGAAGCCTATATACTCCATTGCAAACTAGAGCAATTTTAGGGACCAATCTCATCCGAGTTTCACAGAAATACAATGTCGCAGTCCTGTTCATGACTTCCACCTGTCTTTGTACAAACCCTCAAGTTCATGGCCCACAAAATGCTCTAACAGCAAACAAATTGAGGGCATGCAAATCTTGATTTGGCCGGCATAGGCTATTCGGGCCTATTTACTGGCCTGCACCCTTATTGAAAATGACTTATTGACCTGTGGACTCTACAAACAGAGAGTTGGCAGGACTCATGAGCACGTTTCACAAATTTTCAAAAACTTTGATGATTCTGAAAGCTGATCAATATTATATATTACATGTAAATATGTAAAAATGATGTTTGTGACTGAATTTTATCTACTGGTTCTAAAAAATCGAAACAACTTCTTTTTTTTCACAATACACAACTAAGTTCCAAAAAAGGCGTCCAGCCTTATGTTTGTTAGTTTTCATTTGTCATTTTATAATTGTTTTGATTTATTTTCGTTTCTTTTTAATGTAGCAGTGTTAATGTTATGTTTAATGCATATTTTTGACAACATTGATACTGCTGTATTTGTTTGATTATTTTTGTTGTTGGGAGTTTACTTTGTTCAACTTGTGGACATGATATGTGAATTTATCATGGACTGTTTCTTTGTTTTTATTTATGATTTTGATCAGTTATTGATTATTATGATTTGCTTATTTGTGATTTTATTTATTTTGTTAATTTTACTTGAATCAAGAATCATAGGGACGTAAATAAAATCCCCAAAGCAGTCATTATTTCATCAGGTTTGCTGTCATTTGACTAGATTTTTATTTCAAGTTGAGATATTATCGAGTTATAAGACCATGATAAGACTAATTAATGTAATGGTGTGTATTGATTCTGTGCTATAGGTTTAAACTATAGGTATAAATTTTAGAGGCGCAAAAAAAGCTCTGCAATAAACATATTTCCTTTATAAATACTCCAGCTTTTCCAGTGACCGTAGTTGACCCCAGATACAGGGCGAGTCAAAAAGAAAGTGACCGAATTAGAAAATACAATGTAATACTTTAAAAATATTTAGCTTCATGTCATATCTTCCAATGACATTCCATGGACAGCTAGCTATAAAGTAGGTTCTTTTAGTAAAACATGCATTACTTCTGATAGCATGGATCAATTTTAGGCCGAATAAAAAAAAAACATGTTTCTCATCAGGGTTTTTGAAAAAAAGGAGAAAGCGGGGCTTTTTATTTTTTATTTGTTTCAAGATGACCGCCATTTAAAAATGTCCTGCAACCGTTAGTTTTTCCACTGTTCAAAGACACTTCTAAAATGAAAGATAAGTTGGACAAGAGAACTGAACATATTTACAGTGTTATTTAGACTTGTTTTGGTCTACAATTTATTTTCTGATGAATTTGTGGACTTTTTCAGTGTTTGTTTACCGCATTTTTCAAAAATAAAAAATAATAAAAAAAATCCAGGCGGCCTCCAAAAAGGAAGCGGGCGGGGACGAGAAACATGTTTGTTTTTTTACTTCGCCTTTGTAAAACAGTTTTTGTTTTAAATGAGTGGAAGAACGTGCTCTTTTAAGACATACTTCATTGGTGTATCAAGTTTAATCGCTTAATCCGGGTCACTTTCTTTTTTGACTCGCCCTGTATAACAAGAATCCTAGCTTCTTTTTGGCGCCTGAAACCGTAAGCCAAAGTCGATGTATTTTTCCCAAACACTGTGATTTGGAAATTGATGTGTGGCGTGACTCGCCACAAGCTTTTTAAACCCAGGACCGGTCCAATAAGCCCCGCCCACTGCGCACGTGGGCGACTCGTGCGTCTATCCATTTACGCGCGCTGCATGTTCCAGACGCGCGCGTCCTATGCAAGCGCGTCTTCAGATATTAATCATGTCTGTGATTGGTCAAAACATCATAGGGCGGGCCTTAGTGAATCGGTGTATTTGTGTTACGGACTCCTTTTTTCTTGTATTGGTTAAACCCTCTCACGTGACCGGTCCCTCTCCTAATTATCTATACATGAGCATGCGCAATACCACCAATGAGTCCGTATTACATAGATGCATAATAAATTCACTATACAAGTATACACCGGCATCATTCCTTCAAAGCACCAGACTCCAGCTTTTCATCTGTCTCGACTTCACATTCGCCTCAAGCCAGCTCAAATCCATCCAGTTAAAATATACTATTTATAGGTTCAGGGGAGCTCAACGATGTCTCGATTATATTTGGAATTTCGAAATCAAGTCACTGCAGTAAACAAATCGCCAATGACTTCAAGACATTTCCTCCCTTTGAAGGCTTACAAATTCGAAACTTTAACCGTAAAAAAAAAAAAAAAAGTGACTTTTTTTTCCCGAGTGATTAAAATGCGTGTGTGTGTCTTTTGTTTCATATTTATTTATCTAATCCCATGGGGTTAATTTTAATATTTGAATAAAAATGACACAAATTTACAGATTCAAACGGGATCTTTCCAAAAAAAGAAGAAGTGAAATCAAGAGTCCGACATTAGGGTTAAGTCTGTTCATTTATGCTGCCTTTCTGTCCTTGGTGGCTTATTTTCTGACAATTCTGATAATTCCGTCCACAGAGGAACATAACACACACAAGAAACCTGTCGTTTCAATCACATACCGTCACTCGCAATTGATAAGACAATTTTGTAATTGCCTTTATCAGAAACCCCGCGTTCCAAAGGTATGTATTTCCATTTATGTCAATTCAAATCATCATTTTGGTTCTCAAATTCTCCCAAGAATAATTCTATTTGCAAGAATATTTCTATTTACATGTTGTTTTTGAGTTTCTTCTCTGTGAAAATCGGTATGTTTATCAGTAGTACGTTTATTATGACCGTAAATGTGTAAGTGTTCATGGTAGAGTAGAGCCCCTTTAATTAAATCTGACCTGCGTTTACCCCCTCCGCACTCAAAGTGCCATTGGTAACGCGTCTTGATGCAAAGCCTTGCAACCCGGAGCTAGAAGAGCCACCTTACCTAAGTGGATTTAGTTTAATTTTCCACGCCGCTCCGAGCCACGGTCTTCTCTTTAAGCGCACCTCCCTAAGATTAAGCCAAGCCAAAGATTAGGATAAAAATCATTTCCTTGGTTCCTGCCTCCGAGCACTGATGTGAGAGATGATGAAATAAAATACCGGTGTTGGTTTGGCATTTCGGGGATATACGTTTATGAGGTCGGGAGAGATATACCAAGTTATTGTCAGCCTGTATTGGTCTTGGATTGTGTTGTCTCTGATTTCTCAACTATCAGTTTCCATAGCTTGACAAGGAAAGGCTCTTCGTTAAATTATCGATAGTTAATTTTGGAAAACAAATCTGATTTCTGCAGAAAAAACACAGCGCCCTCTTGTACAACGTGACTCCCATCAATCCATTTTAGGAATACTACATTTTGTAATCCCCCCCCCAATAAAATAGAAAGCACTCAGAGAACGCAAACCTCCGCCGAGGCTAAACAATTCCCCGCCATTATTGTCAGTACACCCAAAAGAAATGCTCGTATAAATGGTAGAGAATCCTAAAATGAAATCCTGGATCCAGACCCAGATCCGGATCACTTCCAAAATCTAATCGATTTGTACTTGTACCAAGGACCACCTCTTTTTTTCATGCAAATCCGACAAACCAACCAACCAGCCAACCAACCAACAAACGCCGATGAAAACATAACCTCCGTGGCTGTAGTAAAAACATTAATACCGTATACAATTTTGCAATGATTTATTCAATCTTTAAATTACATAATTGAACAACAGACAGGTTTCCTCATTCGTGCTTTTTATTTCCATCTAGTGCAATAGTTTATTATATTTACAGTTAATTTTTAATTAATAGAAATGTCCATTCTCCAGGGCCTAGCTCCTTTCCTACAGTAGATTACCATAATTCCCCCTCCACCTTCCGTCATTTTTGTCTGTCAATTGACTTCAATTTCACTACTCGTCCTAAATCCGCCCATACCTTTGTATCCAATTCTGTCAAAATTGCACAATTTTGACAGAATTGTAATTATTCTGTAACTATAGCAGGCAAATTATGAGATTATCTACCGTCCGATGAAATAATGTTTGAAATCAAGAATGTTAACCATTTGTGCATTAATAATATTTAAATTGATAAAATAGACCTAACCCTCCAACCTCTATATGATTGCAATAAAGTTAAATAATCACCCTAATTAGCACAAATATTGCACATACTCATCATTTTAACATTATTTACAAATACTTCATACTACCAAATATTCAAGTCCATAATATACAGATATATTACATTTTTCCTTTTAAATTCATGACACTTCGCCAGTGTGGATATAATAGATTGCACTTGTAAAGAAACCACGCGTTATGAAACATTTCTACACTCAACTTCTGTGATTTCTTCTTGAAATTCGACTACATAAAGATCCAAGTGTAAACAATTTTTGTGGTTGGACGAACAAAGCACTCGAACCATGGAGGAATGAAAAATATTCCTCTATATGCTCTAACTTTATCGTATATTTGTGTTTAATAAAACGATTTGTTGAAAATTCGGATGTACTTTTTAATTATTTTCAATCAGTGTAAAACGATGACGCAATGATCATGTGACCTTGTGACGTCAATGGTTGCTTTAGTTTTTGAACATGTCACACAGCAACCTCTCCATGGGCGTGTTGCCGATGGTGCAACGGAAGAAGATCCGTTCAATCTTATCCGATGAGATGAAACGAAGAGATGGGAGAAGGATGAGGAGACGACCGAACCTGGAGAGAAGAGAATTCAGAAGGAAAAGACGATTAATATACCATCATGATGGACTTAAAACTTGGTAGGGATAGAAACGTGGTGGACATGAGTTTACATCTGAGGCTGCAACATATTGACAACAATAGAGTGTTGTTATAAATTCTTGTGTTTGTTTACCTGCTGGGATTCGCTGGTTGCTGGCTCCTGACGTGCTGACCCAGCATGACCTGAGCTTGGTCCTGTAAACTCTCGACTTGGATGGGATCCTTCAAACCTCTGGTATCTGAGGAAGTAAAGATAAGAGAAACGCTTGAGGAAAAGTCCAAGAGAAGATCTAAGCTCCTCTTTGTAGCTTGTGGAGCACCGTGATCCAATACGGTGTCCGATTAATGTGCCATGCTACGTGGGGTCGAATCCTGAGTATGACGCTTGTGTTCTTGGGCAAGACACTTTACTGCAATTGCCTGTCTCCACCCTTGCAGCAGAAAGCTGTTCTCGTGGCTTGATGAACAGGGTAATAGTATTGTATTGTATTCACTTTGGGTGGTGATGTCTTACCTGGTTTGAACAGTACAATGGCTTTCATGCAAGCAAACTCCGCTGCGTCCACTGCAAACGATTTGAATCGTGCCATGACCTCACGAAGGACCCGGATGTCAGACAGCATGGCTACGGCTTTGGTATCGGGAGACGTGGCTCCCACTTCATGGGCGTGTTCTGAGAGGGACAAGAGAGGGCAGGATTCCAGCGGCATGGACCATTGGATGGCACAGAGAACAAAGAGTTCACTCCACGCTTCCTCGATCAAAATAACCTGTCAATATAAATGATATAATTACATTACGTCTTAGCCGTCTTGGCGAATTCACTGCATAAATGTAATGTTATTATTGCCTTATCAGCAGTCTAATATTCACGAATTCTTGAGATCTAGTATGCCATACTTGTTTATATTCCCTCCATACCTTAGTAATAACTATATATTGGATGGCTTTGAGGTGGATACAAGAATATATTGCACGAGCTATGATGATATTGACTGATTCTCTGTTTGAGCGTGCTTCCTCTCACCCATACACTCTAGCTGTGCCAAGATGTAGAACAAAGAACTACTCTAACAGCTTTTCCCCATTTTTTCTATCTCTTTGGAACTACTCCTTGCCTAGTGCATGCCTCCCTCCATTCTATGATCTAGCCTGTTTTAAGAGGAATACAACTCCTACCTTCAGCTTTTCTGATTATTATTTTTCTTTTAATCATAACTTACTTGGTCCCTGAATGGAAGATTTGAGAAGGACGGCAAATTCTTGGCCCACTTGACAGCCATGAATAGCAATCTGGCTGAGGACTCGTAGATATTCTCCTGTGCTCCTGGGTAGATAGCCATATCACGTGTCAGGTTGTCATTGTGTTGTCCTGAGCCCGAGCCACGATGACGAAAACTCCGCTCATCAGAATCTGTGTCCATTCCTCCAGTGACGTCTACATCTACGTTGTCTTGAAGTGCTAAGAAAAAAAGCAAAGAAGTAACATTTTACAAGACGTGGTCTAGTCGAGGTTCCAACTCCTCTTTCATATACTTGTAATTGTCTTCAGTTGTCTGTTTTGCAGGCTAATCTTGCAACAAAGTGAAATGTTGATCATCTTTTGGCTCGGGTCTTGCATCTTAGTACGGCAGATAGGTGATGGGATTGTGCCTTTGATGATACAAGCATGGCATTTGGCACACAGTCAGAGTATGTCATGAGAAAGATATTTGGCTATAGGGCCATCGCAGATTTGTCCTTTGGAAAATATAGGAATAATAATAAGCTATAGACCATTATCATGTTGCGGCCATCTTGATTTTTCCCATTCAAATCAACGTAACCAAAGCGAGGCTGGAAGGAAAAATATAGTCTGGTTCCTTTTTGCACAAAAAATATTATTCAGTACTATTGGATACGGGGAACATGACTGAAATGATGGCATCATGATAAAGATGAATGGCAGCCATTTTGAACATTTTGAAAATTGCTTGTTATTCTACCTATGTTTTTTTTAAAGGACGTTACAGCCAAATATCTTTCTTAAGAAATATTCTGACTGTGTGCCAAATGCCGTGCTTGTATCATCAAAGGCACAATTCTTCCAAATATTTCCCCTATCTGCCCCACTATAATACCTCCAACATATTGAAAGGCTTACCATCTTCTGGTTCGAGCTTAGCACAAGTTTCAGCCGTCATGAGGCTGGCCATGAAGCGGTGGTTGAGGGTCGGGGTGACGGGACGGTGCATGGAGGGCACGGTAGATGAAGCTTGCTCGCCCCGGATGATGCTCCCCGGACTACCGTCAAAATCATGGTGATCCACGGCAGTAACTGACGGGACGCAGTCCAGGCGAATCTGGGCTGTGTTGCGGGGCTGCCGCTCGTTCTGCACGGCTGTTTGAAAAACTGATAATGTCAGTTTGAAAACAAAGTTCTTCTTGTGTTGGTGGATTAATTAACTTGGGACACAAGTGAAGTGTGGAAAATGCAAGAAAACTGACAGAAAACTAGGAGGCAAATGTGTGGCTATTTGTTTTTACCACTTTTTTTCTATGTTTGGACAAGAAGTAAAATCGTAAGTCTGACCTCTTGCAATTTTAAGCGCAAGACACTCAGGTTGGCTTTGGAGTAAAATAATCTTTATAATAAGTAAAATGCTGAATTTTAAGATTGGAAATGTAATCACGTTTTGTTTTGATAACATTCAGGCTGTATGAATTCGAGCTGAACAATATCATGTTAATTTGAAACTTGAAAGTGAGATTCAGCATGATCATCAGTTGAACAGAATCGCTCTTCAAATATTTGTTTTGACAATTTTTGTCTTTGTGGTTTAAGGTAGTGAGTACCCTGGTATGAAACATTCTTATTAAGCTTAGTGAATGCATATGGCTGCGACGCATGCGAAACACAATTTTGTTTCCCAATATAACATCTCTTGACTGTGGTCGAAAAAGATAACTTTTATCTTTCCCGCGCTGCCCTAAGCCTCAGACTGTGCTTTTTCCTTCCTTACTTTGCCTCCTCCATCTCGCCCTATCTTCCCCAAGAGCTGTGTTTCCTTAAAACGAAGCACCGCGCCACAAATTGAACTGCTCTCGGAGGCTTCACGGTACTCCAATGTCAATCGATGCTATTTAAACAAACTGCCCGAAATGACTTTTGACGGAGTTTAAAACGGCGCAGCGTCCGGCGGGTAAACGATTCGCCGTGCGAACCAGTTGACAAATTGGTATCTATTTCAGGCCGCGTAGCGTTAGAAACAGGCAAATGCTATCTGGTAAATTGTATGGTAATTGAATTGATGGTGAGGGGCTGGCATCCTCGCCACTTCGGCTAATTCCCTACCCGTGTCTCCTCCTTGTCCGGGGAATCAAGACATTAGCGTTCAGATAATCAACCCGCAAACTGATTAAAGGAAAGGCAACACTTTTCTCGCTTGCTGTGATCAATGGTGCTCCACATTTTCCCGTCAGGTTTTCGTCTCCGTTTATTTTTTTGGACGAGTCCGTCTAAGTGGCACAACTTGCTGGGTGTAAATCATAAACTGTTTCTTTCTCAATTTCCCTTTTCAGCTGAAAGGTTATCGTCGTTTTGATCTCAAAATAATAAAACTGCCATATTTGATCGTTTTTTCCCTAAATTCACACGTGTGTGAAAAATAAGCATGAATATATTACACCACAAAATAGGATGCTTAAAGAATGCTTCGGTTTTGCCACTTCATTCGTCTGTTTAATACAATAGATACGACGAAAAAGGTAGTTTTTTTAACAGTAGATAAATATACAAGTTTAAATTAAGATTGATTTTATTTTTTCTTAATATTCCTAGTTGGTTTTCCTGTGATAAAATATTTATGCCCCAATGTTTTTTTTTTTTCACATTATGGCAATTCTGTGAATTCGGACGTACATGTCAGACAGTTTAATGAGCTTCTGTTGGTAGTGTGAATGTGATACATTACTAATAATGTGACATCTAATTGAAGACAAAAAATACAGGCCAAACAAATGTACTATCCTTTACGACCTTTCTGTTCCTTGCTCTATGGACATACAAAAGGAGCTGGAATTTGCGGAATTGACATACCTTTTTAACATTTTGTTAAAATTTGGTAAAATTCAAAATGATGATATCAGTCGAGCGGTATAAATTTAATTGAAATCCTGAATTACGAATTTTGACTTTTTTTTGCTTTAAATCCTGGGTTCTGAATTCGAAGCAAGTCTGTCAATGTGAGTGAAGCATGAAGGTTTTGATTGTGAAGTTTGCGCTTTTTACGCCAACATCCTGACTCTATGCCTCAAACAAGTTGGCCATAAATCATCTCCACGGCCCGTTTTACCATCAGCCTCTATTAAATCATGCCTTCCCCGCTTGCCAAGCAAGCAATCCATGAGCGAGAGGTTGCAGGCCCGCTGTTCAAACACCGAAGTCACGGGCAATGAGGAACTAACATAAAAAACGCTGCTGATCAAATTAGTGTAGGGGGAGTGGACTATCAAATTTGAGTTTGGTTTTGCCGCGCCGCGGTAGGCGCGAAGCTAGCGTTCGATATCAAACCGAGCTCGGGTTTCGCTTGACGCCCAACACAGTCGCGGCATTCCTCAACCAAAAAGCCCCTTCCTGTATCTTTCCCCTTTTTATCATCGCCATCATCAGCGTTATTATTCTCTAGATCCCCCTGACAGCCCAGTGCTTTCTCACCGCCACTAATTCAATTTTGGTGTCGAACTGACGGCGCGGTCTGACAGGTTTCCTGGCCTTAATACTCGCCGTGCTGCCTTTTTTTAGGGGGAGCTTCGCAAACACCGTCCACAGCCCACCGCTAATGCTAACACCAACAACTTTTTGGCACCAAATTATGTGATTGGTTGGTAATGTGACAGCAACACTCACGCGACACTCCAAATATTGGGTCATTTTCCAAGTTGGTGAAATAGCTGGGTTTGTGGCATTGTCACGTTTTATCGCGTGGCGTCTCATTCTCGCGTTTACTTGCCACAATATCTTCCGAAATCTGCGTTTAAATTGAAAATTGCGTAGTAGACTTTAAAGAATTTTAATCTGGCCAAGTTTCAGTAAGTCAAATCAATACTATAAAATTGGACAAATAATAAGTAACAAATAATGTCAGTAAATAGTACCAAGAATTACAATCCAGCAACTTCATAGATGTCTTGATATGGTTCGCCCTGTTACAGTTTGCTTTCAAAAATGAATATTTGCTAGCCTAACTTCACTTTAGATTAGACATGTTTATCTTCGCCACAGGAATAATTTGATTGCAATCAAAGTTATTTATTCTTGATTAGAATGAACAGATCATGAAATCGAATGCTTCATGAAGCTAAATGCAGTGATGGAATTATTTCAAAGAATCAAGATATACAGGGTGAGTAAAAAAAAAGAAACCCAAATGGCAGGACCAATTATTGAATGAAGTTCTGCATGTAGCACTTTCAAAATCTAGGATATAAAAGCCCAATTCATAAGCCTTCTTTTAGTACAAAAATCATTCAAATCACTCATGAACTTTTCAAGTTTTCAATTTTGAACACAAACACCGTTTCAAGTTCTGTCCACGGATCACAAAAAAAGTAAGTATGTATGTGAATTGTTTTCGTTTTGCTGAAAGAACACTTACCTTTTTTGTGATCCGTGGACAGAAGTTTAAAACGGTGTTTGTGTTTAAAATTCCGTAACTTGAAAAGTGCATGAGTGATTTGAATGATTTTTATGCCAAAAGAAAGCTTATGAATTGGGCTTTCATATCCTAGATTGTGAAAGTGCTACATGCAGAACTTTATTAAAAAAATGGTGCTGACATTTGGGTTTCCTTTTTTTTTGACCCACCCTGTAGTGTCCAGCATTCGTACTCACCATCTTTATTCATGCCTGTCTCCATACATTTCTTCAAGCGGCAGGCTTGACATTGATTACGATGGGCCTTGTCAACTACACACATCCCCGTCCCAGCCTGACACCTGCACATCAAGACAAGACGTATTATTATAGATTTATTCAACGGGTCAACTCAAAACGTAAATTTTGGGTTTTTGATGTAAATTTCATTTTGGTGTAAATTTTTACTTCTCTTATGTGGAGACACGACATAAGGTTGGGCGTAGCGAATTTGCATTTGAAACTATAGGAATTTAAAATGTTTACATTTTAGTCAGAAATACTGATCGTGGTTTTTAATTTATTACAAACAGGGACTGAAATTTAATCTTTGTTATAGTCTTTAAACTTGTCCGATGTTGTGATAAGTAAATCTTTAATATTTACATAAAACCAGTTCCGTAAATTCGGACGTAAATGTCAGACACTTTAATGAGTTGCTGTTGGAAAAGTGAATGTGATACATCACTAATAACGTGACATCTAATTAGTAGGAAACAATTACAGACCAAACTAAGGTACACCACATTAACGACCTTGTACATCTACATCATGTGGTCGGACGTGCGATGGATTTTACGGAATTGCCTCATAGCAACATACAAATGACTTTTAGAGATAGTGGTGTTTTACTATGATTCACCTTGTCTTAAAGTTATTTTTCATCTGACAGTGGTGTCTCTGATACATCCCTTTCTTCTTCTGTTTTAATTCTAAGTACAGACGTCTATTTTCCATCTAACTTTCTGACCGACTGACATTCATCCCATCTTGGCGCGGTGTCAGCATGACTAACTTTTCGCGCGTCACTTCTGGTCGGTTTGCTGTTGCAGTACGACACGGCTAAGGCAAGATAGCGTAAAATCTGAACCACTACTCTTGCGGATTGCAAGGTGTCAAGCCGGTAACCTTCGGATGGAATTTTATTCGATTGTGATATGAGCCGGAATCATCCTTCACTATTCCACATCTCAGATCACAAGTGCTACGTATCGATTGATGGAGTTCCGATATGAATATTTATAGACAACCATTGGCTGCTTTGTCTTCACTGGGAATGCACGTGTATGCAAACACCTAACATCCTCAGTACGAGTGTGCAATAATAAGACCCTCAGTCAGACCTTTGCTAGTCGAAAAAGCTTTGCCAAACTAAGGTTGAAAGCTACCTTTTCTTTGATGTCCTAACTGTTTTCTCAAACTGTTTCCGATTCCTTCACAATTTCTCCTGTATTCTCATCTGTTTTTCCCCAATTCTTCTGTAGGGTGAGTCAGAATGATCCGGACCCAAATTTAAAAAAATATTAAAAATATGTAGCAGTTATCAAAACAAGCGCAAATGAGATATGTTACCGGCTGGTATTTTTGACATATTTGGTGAAAGTTTCATGTATATCCATTGTAGAATTTTGAAGAAAAGCGCTAGCAAAGAACACACGCTAAAAACACACGGTTCCATGGTTCAACAAATTTATTGAAATCGCGTACTGATGTGAAGCAGTGTAATAACAAATAAAAACCTAGTCATGGTGACTGACTCACTCGAAGTTATTGACACATTTTAAAAATGTAAAACCTATTCCGTGTGCAGACTGGAAAATGAGCCACTTCAATGAAAATGGCATAACTCCTCACCACAGCCACTAAGTTGAAAAAAATATCAATATTCCTGTGGAAGACAAGGTAATAACCATTCATATGAAACACTCAATTTTTTCTCTCAATATACTCTGTTTGCCACAAAAAATGGCGAACTTGGGTACAAATCATAACCCTGTATACGTAATGTTTGATTTTTCCCGATTAACCAATCGTGTTTGTCAATTGTTCTTTTCTGTTTATCCCGGGAAAGGCATTTTACTTTATAATGTTATTTACTCACTCAATCAAAGTCTTCTTTATATATATATATATTATTATTATTATCTTTATATATTATTGTCGCTCTTTTCTGGCCTTTTCCTACCATGCCATCCTTTAATGCGACCTTTTCTTCCTGACACAACCAACAATGTAATTTCGTTGTTCCCACGATCCATAAACCACGGACAGTTATTTGTTCCGTGATATTTGTCGCAATTTTATCTTCATACGATGTTCGTCTTCATTTTATCGTTGTCAAGTTGTCTTCCCCTTCATTCGAAATTTGAATTTTCAAAAACCTCCCTGTCTATCAAGGCCCACATTGTCTTTATTATAACGGTAAATCAAATAACGACGATTTGCCTCAAACCATCTCCTTAAATTTTAATCTTCTCAGATATCAAACTGCTTGATTTTAGTGTTTTCTTGTCATCTGAGTTCGTGTTGATGCATAGTAAACAGCAACAGTAATATTCCACGTATGAATTGTTTTCTGTCAAATTAAAACTTGGTTGCAGTTCACATGCAGACATCGTGACATAACAATCATTCCTATCATGTACACACAAACCTTACTTTCATATTCAACCGCTACACCAATCTCTAATCTTCCCGCTGCGATAATATTAGTTTTTAATGTGTGTAAGTTATGGATTGACAAAGGGGAGAAAATATCAATTAAGGTGTGAGCGTATATTATTTACATTCCTAGCGTTTGGTTAAGCGTTCGTCTCGGCGTGCCATCCAAATCCCATTACTGATCAGTACATGGTGTTTTTTTGTTATTAAGCCCCCTCCAACCGCACGATCCTATCCTTTCAATTTTGCCAGCTCTCAATGGCACGTCATAGGGTGCTATATCGCCGTGTGACCTTGCTGAAGTCCTGCCCTATTCTCACTATTAATTAAACAGTTTTCCCTTGTTCTTTTAGCGTATTTCTGCGACAAAGGTTTCTCTTCGCCGGCCATATCACGCTGGTTAAATAATTGCCGTGCCCCATTCCGGCGCGTCACACGATACGTGTGCCTTTGATGTTTGAACAATACCATAATGAAATTTCTGCGTAGGATGGGGAGTGCCAATCCTTATTTTTATTGGAAATTGGTTTAGTTCAATGATTCGAGGAGAACTCCTCCCTTCTCTCGAAATGAAATTAAAATGATGGGAATTTATTATCAGTTAAATGGTCGGTTGGATTGGTTGTTATTATCAAATCAATAATGTCGGCTGGCCTTGTTTTAACTTCGTTTTGAGAATGAAAGGTAGAAAAATGACACATACAGTGTGTCAAATTTGTCATAAGTTGCTGTAAAATGGTTTTACAAACTCTCATTTAACAATCAATTTTTCCGATATTTTTGCAACATAAGCAAAAAAAACCGAAGCTTGTTACTGCATGATATCCCAATATCATTAGTTCATATTAACATAATTTTCCACTGAATGAGAACATTCCTTGCTCTTGATGTTTGACTTAAACATATTTATTTGTACGGTTGCTCTGGTAGTTTTGTAGGCCAAGATATGAAAATATAAGGAGTTTGTCACTAACTAAATTGACAATGAGTACCGCAGCATTTAAAGCTACGTATGTTTTTGATTCTGTCTTATTCTTTTTGTTGTTTAATCAATTTCCACTCAACGATAACTCCACAGAAAATGCCAGATTTTAGTGAACATAAAAATTCAACCTGCATGTTATATTTGTATTAGCTCTGTGGAGGATACTACCGAAGGAAATATATAAAGCATTTGCCCTTCAAAAATATAAACTGAAAGAGTTGAAAAACCTTGAAGAAACCTTGATTTTAAAGCTTCATTTTCTTAAAAATTAAAGAAGTTTTTGCCAAAAAACCCAGCTAAAATGACTGCAGTGCCGAATCTATCAAAGACAGTAATTTAGACCATCAATTTGTCTTAAAAAATATAGATACAAGGATTGAACTGTCTCATAATCATATGGCACCAACATAATAAGTTTAAATAAAAACTCAATTTTTACTTATCTATGTTTTGTTTTAACGTATTTTTCGCTCTTGATATTTTTCTCTAAACATCTTTCCTTTCACGGTTGCTCAGCTAGGTGAAGATGTTTTACAGGCAAAGATATTAACCAACCTGCATGTACTGTACTAGCTCTTGAACTGTAAACCCAAACGAAACTAGAGAAGGAACAACATAAAGCATTTACCCATGACAGTTTTCATCATAATAATGGTGAAATGATTATTGCCAAGTTATTGTGTAATTATCCCTCCGCAAACATCCTACAGTTTATTTTCTTGACAATTAAAGAGAAAAAACTTTTCCCAAGAAAACAGTTTAAATGACTGCGGTGCCACATATATCAAAGAGACTAAAGAGTCTACATCTGGAGGCACAAATAAAAGCAAGGAAATCATCTTCAATTTCTTGTACCCACCATCAACAAAGAGAGACTGTTTTAAGTGCTCGTTCCTCTCAAGGAGAACTGCCCATAATGGAGCCTTCTACTTCTAGATATCAGGAATCCAAAGCAATCGAAACTGTTACATTTCAAGCTCAACTTGAAAGGATCAAGATATCATCATTGGTTTAGGGGACACTACTAATTCCTTGTCTGCCATCCACCTTGCAACTTTACTGCGAGGAGATTATTGCAGTCTAAAGCAGAAGCAGAAGACACAACTTTATACCCTCAATTTCTCATGTTTCTTTTTGCATCTTAGATACAAGATGGAACTGTCTCATATGGTACCAACCTGTAAATGAGTTTTCTTCGGACGCTTCTCTTGAAGAAGCCGCTGCATCCGTTGCAAGCGTAGATACCGTAGTGCTTGCCCGAGGAGATATCGCCGCAGACTCGGCACGTCAAACCAGATGTCATCCGCTTATGAACTGAAGAGGAAGACGGTAAGTCAAGAACATCCATTTATTGACCGACAACTCAAGACTAATTAAAGTTCCCCATGATTCGGCGTTGTAATAGCTGTATTAATCTAGGCGACACAGCTATGAGATAAAGTTAAACGATGACTCGTGTGTAATTAACAGCGCTTAACCCTCGAGTCTTATAAGATACAACTTTATTTCGAATAGGGTATAAGAATTCCAATTGAAATTCGGCAAATTCGGCAAAAATTAAACATGTTTGTTTTGAAAATAAGACTACAAATCTGGCATTGCCACTTGCACGTACCAGATTTTTTAGGGGATTGTTGTGGTCCCTCTGATTCCCCTTACTTTGTCAGATCGAGGCTTTCAACGCTAATTATTTTGCAATGATAGCAAGATTGTGTTTAATTGCTATTCACAATTAGAGTGTACCAGTTAAATATTTTAGGAGACAGACTAGTGTGTCCTCCCTTATCCCCCATACTTTCTCAGATCGAGGCTTTGAACTCCAATTATTTACAATTAGCAAGATTGTGATTAATTGCTATACACAGAGTTTACCAGTTAAACATTTTAGAATACTAGTCTGTCCTCTCTGCTCCCCCATACTTTCTCAGATCGTGGCTTTCAACGCTAATTACTAGTTGAAATAATATTAAGGCAAATTGTGTTTAATTGCTATACACACTTGTTAGAGTGTACCAGTTCAGTATTTTAGGGGAATGGTGTGTCCTCTCTGATCCCCATACTTTGTCAAATCGAGGCTTTCGATAATTATTATTTTGTTCCGTTGTTTTGCTGGGACGGAAAACCTGTTTGACGAATCGATTGAATTTAATCAAAATCTGGAAAAGACCAAGCCGCGAAATGAGAGTTATCGCTTTCCTTTCATCACTTCCAATCCTACATGAAACCGATATCACTCACAAACTCCTTCCTAATCAATAACATCCACCGATCATCCGTGTTCCTCTTGCATCATAAAATATAAAAATTCTCATTCTTATGTAAGATGTGGATAAGATTCGGTTTTGTAATCTTTGATTAGTATCGTGCGAAATGCACCATACGCTGGGACATCGATCTGACAACCGCGTCCATCAACCCACCAAAATTAAAACAAATTTCGAGAGTAAACATTGGAACAATAACACCACTCCGTGCCTGTGTTGTTCCTCATGCATCATGTTGTTGACACATCTTGTTCCGCTAAATGAGGAATCAGTCTTGCCCCATCAACTGTGTTTTGTTGTTTGTGAATGGAAAATGGTAGCGTATACAGGATCGATTCCAGCTGATATGACTTGCCTTCTATGCCAACATCTGTGTTATGCTGTGTTAAGTTAGAGCAGTCTTTTGCTGCATGTGTTTAACCAGGACTAGGGCCATGAATTGAACAGAACTAATTGGCATGTCCTAGTTTCGGTCAGAGTAATGCACTTTTTGGGTGGAGCATAGCATTTTGTTTCAAACATTAACAAACCACGGTGGTAGACACCAGATCCAATCATATCTCTCCAATGTTTGCTTGTGTTGGTTGGTTTTTAACTTTGGTTTAAACACAAGGAAGTTTACGGTTGATGTCATCATCAAGATTAATCTTCTTAATCTCATTTTTCAAAATCGCATTCCTCTCCAAAAATTGAAACACGGTGACATGAATAATAAATCAGGATTATTCATAAAGTTATATTTTAGTTAAATTATGCAAATTCAAAATTACCTATTACCAAAGGACAAAACCACCTGCAATCTGTAACTTAACTCACCCCAAATCAATCGTAAAACACTGTTTAAAAATGATCTTTATAAAATTAACACCCACATTTAATATTTTGCCCTGTTTTACTCGAAATCCTAAGCTTTTGAAGACTTTAAACTTGAGATATGAACAAGACGGACGTCTACATTTTTTAGATTAAATTAAGCTAATTACTAAATTATTTCGTGCAATTAAAAGTAATCTATCAACATGGTTGATGAATTCTTTGTCTTAACTAATTCGCCAATTGATTTATGTACAGCGATTACAATGTGTAGGCTTATATCACAGGCACTAACAGCATCACTGCCGATTTTTTCCCTAGCAGTATAGTTATACAGCTAAAAAGCCAACTCCATGTCATCAGCATTCCAGACGATAATTTATAATCATAAATATCCGGAGAGTGTCAAACTCCCGTTACATTTTTCACTTAATAACTGTCACATGCATGGGGTCCAACCGATGCTTGCAATGCCTCGGCACAGCGGTGCACAGCGCCAATGTTTGAACAGGTTCCGGCAATGAGTGACCGTGTCCCCGCCCCGTTCATAACCCTGGCTAACGCTCTTTTGTCCCCGTGAGGTGCTCCGGTAAACACGCCATCGACCGCCCCGCACGGAGTCCAAGCCAGCTCCAGTTAGGGCTCAGTTTTTATTGGTGTTTTGTCATCCAAACTTAAATCGCCACGTTCAATTGACTCCAAACTTTGGTTTAAGCTAAAGTTCTTTCACAATCGATGCTGTTGAAATCACTTGGGTGATTGCCTGAATATTATTGATAATAATTAGAGCTACAAAAAGGTTTTTGAAGCTGTATAACTCAACACGTTTCGTGGTGCTGCATAATTTAATAAAGTTTTATTTTGTCAATTGAAATTTGTCAAATCAAAATGGCATCATTGCAATAAGAAGATATAGTTAGCCTAATGAAAGTGTTGTTTGCAGGATATTATTAATTAAATAAGTGAGTTGTGGTGTGATTTCAAATAAAGATTGAAGCCTAGTAATTTTTTTGAGTTGGTTATCATGGTTTTGTACTGAAGGTGTTTTTTGATCAAAGTGGACAATGTATATCGGTTTAATAAATTGTTCTCACCTAAGGCGTCCTGCGGTGTATATTAAAACCCTGTAAGCCATGTCATGTCACGTGTCACAAGCACGTCGTCTGTATCACACATGATAACTTATATCTGACCAATAAATTTTGATGTTTTCTGCCTTTCCGCAAGATTACCCGTACATGGTAGTGTAATCTGATTAATAAGTGAAACAGCTGTTGTGAAGCTCATGGCCATTGGCTTTAGTTCAATTATAACCCAGCAACTGGCAATATCCTCGGCGCAGAGGACGCGAACAGAACCGCCGGCATTACTGCGTCCTCGTCCGACCACACTTCGTCATTTATATCCTGAGGCACGAACGGTTAACTCACCGTGCACCGTCAGTAGCAACCCCCCAAATCACAACCGAAATATTTAGATATGGACATCGCCATTTATTCAGTCAGAGAGGGGCGAAGTGGCAAACCAAATAAGAGCTGCAGCCAGCGCGGCAGATGCTTTCTATCTGCTTTTAATCATCGGTTTTTTTCGCTCTTCTAGCGGCGGTGCGGTTTGATTTGAGGTACGATGCTTTGGGTTGACGCGATGTGAACTGTCACATTTAGCGTGGGCACCTGCCCACCGCGGGCAGAACTAGAAGCCGACGAATCGCTCGAATCATCGGCGAGGCATGGGCGAGGGAGAATCACTGGATGCAGTGAGTTACCGTCGTTTAGTCAGATGGACAGTTGGTCAACTTGAGGCAAAATAGGCTCATTATTGCCAAGTCGAGTGTCGTCTCGATGTAGTTGACTTTTCAGAGAGGACAGACTTCTTTTAGTATCAGGAGTGATATAGTGTTTGTTTCATTTTGCTCTTTGATTGTATCTCATCAGGATCGCATCTCAATCATTTCAGTCACCGACTGCCCTTTTGATTTTGTTTTTAAATGTTTATGCTGGCCATGTCACATATTATCCTTCTAATTTCTGTATTACTAGCAAAGAGACGTCCAATAACTCAAATTGGTACTGTTTCTAAAATTGTAACGGTCGATTTATTTAGGCCTATCGCAATTATGTTTAATACATTGAAAATTTATTTATTGTGCAATTGCTTCAAATTTCGCAAATTGACCATGGACTTAAGTCAGTTGTCATTATTAGCAAACCTATACACACTTACGTATAATGAAGTGATGGATGTGGTCTAAAGCTGAAATACAAATATGAAGTGGCATTCATTGAATTGAGAATGATTTTTACTAAGCAATTCGAATTTGCGTGTAAACATAACTAGAGTTTGTTTGGGATCGTGTTCATGTCGCAATGTAGCCTTCGTCTTTGTGTTAGTATGTTAAACCAAGGCCCAAAGAGTCCTAATTTTCTAAGTTGTACTCAACGTGCGGGGAATTGAACGACCTTCGTTTTAGGAACCGTTAGCATTGCTATGGTTCGAATCGCTTAGCTTTACAGATGAAATTTTACCGACTGCACTTTCTGTAGTGTTGTTTCACTTAAAGATCTTGCAGAGGATAATCATGCAACATTATTAATAAATACAATGAAAGGTGAATTTTATGGAATGTGTGACTTTTTCCCACCAATAAAAAAATCCTCCAAAGGACACGTGACAGTACTTGGCCAATCGTAAAGCACTTTTTCAGCGGGATCCACAGACATTTATTTCAAAGGTTATGACAAACGAGGTGTCTATGCACAGTGCAAACAAATCAGTCACCGTGAAAGGGGTTGCTTGATCTTTTCTGCGGGGCAGCTGTTGGTATGTTCCGGAGTGTGGAGCCTTCCAGCTCTTGACCACCTTACCCGCCCGAGGCGAGACTCTACCGGAGGGCAGTCGCTCTGGCACGCCTGGCGGCTTGCCGGTTAGCTTGTAACACGGGAAGACCGATTCTGACAAGTCAACGGATTCACGTTCCTACGGCTTCCTTCGCCAACACCTGCTGGGCCCGGGCGCTTTGTCACTCGCGCTCCGCCATTGCACCCGGAAGCACCTTGATCAAGTGCTCTGTCATATTTCTCAGATTGTTTTATGAACTGAAATACCGCCTGCCCGCTTCTAATAAACCTTGACTTTTGTTAGTAGAGCTGGTGTATTGGCCATCGCAAACGTGTCTTTGTGGATTGGTTGATTGTAATTAATCTTTCCTGAAATTTGGCTTTCGATAAAATAATTGGAATGTGCCGCTCTTGATGATGAGAATAGTTCAGTACCGGTCGCTTTTAACATCCAATGTCTTAAACAGATACATTGTGTTTGCAACTAGAATGTTGTCATGAGCTGTTTTAAGTGACACTTTCAAACACTGTATTAGTTATTTATTGTTGGTTTAAGCATTTGTTTCTGTCAGTCTTTAAATTGATATTGCTTAAAATTTTCTTTTACCACAAACAAATGTCAAGTATGGTCCCTTCAAAAGTTCATAAACTCTTATCTCTTTGTCCATTGTTATTTCAGTGGTAAATTATGAAACTGTATCTCGAAGTAATATATTCGGCAGGCTATTATTAATTTATTCCAAATATTACACAATAATAACACTTTTTTTGGAAAAGGTGTTTAAGACCATAGAAGAGAATGTAATTTTAATTAAGATGACATTAGTCCTGTGTGTCGTGGTGGTATGAAATTTCACCACTAATGTTTCAAAACGTGCCTCAGTTGATCCGATAACTTGATCAGCTCTTAATCTCTTGTCAGAGACACTTATTTTTGCCTGCCACAGACGAGGCTAAGCTAGGGCATGCCACGTGACGCGTGATATATTTGTTAAATATCCCCCGCCATTATGACATGCTGCTGTACTATTACTGTCTCTTCTCTCAACCCATCGATGTCTCAGAGACAACTGAGATGGAAAGTTCTTCGTCAAAAAGAGCAAAAACGCTGTAAGGCAACTGTACTCCCAAGTCAGACAAGCGATGTATGATCTATCATGACTATGCCGAACTTTAAAGTACCAGTGCGTAGGATATATAGCTACAAGTAATATCTTCTGTATGTAAAAACAAAAAGCAGCCGTGCTGGATTAAAGATTTGGATACAAGTTTACTTTTTTATTTTCTACTTTCAGGCATTGCTAATTCTGCAATGCATACAAACGCACACAATTGTATATTTGCCTGCAATCGGGGACCCCCTATTGTCCCTCTTTTGTTTGTACTAACTTTTTAGGAAGACCTCCCATATGTTTTGTACACATCGCCAAATTGGGGATCTTCGGGAATTGGGGACCCTATTGTACTCTATTGTTCAACGTCCCCTAATGATCGCAGAAATAAACTCACATGATGGCCCCCGAACACCATATGTATATATCACACCCATTGTTATCTTTTGCCGAATGCATTTAAGTTCTCTGAGATCTTAGATCACACGAACAATTTTATACAAATATACAAATACTTAGTCATCTAAGCAAATTATGAACCGTACTACTCAACCCGAGAGAAATTACAGACAGAAGCTATCTGAAGTCATTGGCGCCGTAAAACATTTGATAAAAATCACTTACACTATAATTGTAAAAAAAATACAACATGCGATGACAAAAATATATGCGTCCATAATTGGATTCTGATATTGGTGAGTTGACAAAAAAATTGAACGAACGTAACATCACGAAATGTCATCAAAAACAAGAAACGTCACCCAAGCTACTTCTTATTCCAGTTAAACTAATAAAATCACCCAACATGGCTTAAAAACATGCACTATATACCGACAAAAATACTGTATGATGACAAAAGAACTTATGTCAAATAATAATTGATATTCAAGAAAGGGGAAAAGCTATGATTAAATTAAAATTTAACAAAGTTGAAAATTGTGAATGTTTTCAACAAATCACAAAACGATGGCTCACTATAATCGCCTTGAGTGGTGAGGTAACTTGCTTGTTTTATGTTTTAATCTGGCGATAACCAAATTAATTTCTTAACTTAAACAAAGTAGATTGATTGAACTCACCCGAGTCTGACATATCGGAGCATTGGTCCTGTGCCATTCTTACTGTCTCCATGTCCATGGTGGAATCTCTGAGTGGTCTAAGGTGTAACCTCAGCTGAAGATGCGAAGATAACTGACGGAACAACTCACTGTTGCTGCTTTAGTGTCTACCTTACTCGGTCCGTGTCTCACACTCTCTGACTGTACCGTGTTTGGCTTCACACTTCCCCCGCTGTTCAGCTGAAAAACACGCCCCGTCCGCGCCACACGCAGTCCACGCTCCACTTCACCTTACAACCGACCAAATCAAGAAGCTGGCTGGATTTATGAAAAATCCATCTAATAATAACTGTTTATTTTCCGAGTGATTGGTCGCGGGGTGTAGACCGTTAGATGCCGGGCTACAGTGACTGAGTGCGGCGGGTGCAAACTCCTCCTTCTTTCCCGCTGTCTCCCGCTGGCACGAACGATAACGTTTACTTTCTCTGTTTTCGTTGTGCGCTTGGGCCGCGGTTGAGTTTGTAATTGTCTCGTCATGCAAACTTTTGATTGGTCGATGTTTGACGATGTATCGCTGCATGGACGTTGGCGTCGCACTGCTAGGTAGGATCGGCAGAGATCTAGTGCCCTGACTGTTAAATCATAATCGACTATCATTTTTTGCATAGTGAATTGGTTCTCCAGTCTATCATCTTTATGAGAAGGGAAATGTGGACAGAGATTTGATTAATCAAAATCTTTTGGATATGTGAAGGTGTTCGTAATGTTTATAACGTTGTACATTTTAATTCTAATGATATCATCACACGGATTTCGAAGTTGTTTGCGAATTGTAGTAAATTCTATTCTTCACTTTGCTTGATTACATATTCATTATTACTATTCGTTAACCGTGGTTAGAGCTTCTCGTGTTTTCGGCCTATAAATGCAATATTTTGATCATCCAAATTAGAAATGAAAAAGTAACAATTGATAGGTTTTTTAAATCTTTCTAGAGGACATTAATTGGTGTAATATAAGTTTGTGCTACACTCATGTACATGTATTGAAGGGTTTTTTTTGGGGTCATCATCTTAAGAATTTTGTCATCTATGACTGCACTTTCTGCATTCAAAATGTTTGTATTGAGATCGTTCACCAAACGCAGTCTTATTGGAGTACAGAGTTTTTGATTGCGATTTAATTACATTGAAAGAACTCGACATGAGACGCAGATGCCAGAAAACAACATCGTCTCTGTCTAGCATGGTAACCAAATGATTTCCATGGCATGACTCAAAGTTAGCAAACTTGGTGGCAAGTCTTCAGAACCATTGTGGACTAAGTACCCGGCAACGATTGGTTATGGTAGGCCGCCAAGTCACCTGAGCCGGCAGGACCGGGTGAAGCGATCCAAATATTGCGCTACCAAATCTAATTTGAAGACATCGCTTTGCTCTAACACACTCCGCCGGATTGCATGGGCTAATACAATTGCCGCGCGGATCAATCACAGAGTCGTGTTTTTGGCGGACGCCAGGCAAAATGGTCAGCCGAGAAACGGCGCGCCTGCACCGCCCAGCGTCATTGTGCGAGTCAGGGAAGGTGATTGTAACCGATTTAAAAAAAAACGAGGGGTGAAGTTGATGAGGGTATTGTTAACATTAACACCAAAGATGTGTCTCAAGTCCCTCCTTTGGATTGGAGTTCAAGTTTCTCGTGAGGAAGGTCATCGGATAGACCGGCTCTGGTTTCGGTGCGTTAGTGGAGACATTTTGTGGGGGAGAAAATCTAACTTTGAGTAATTCCGATATATTGAGCTGTAACCTTAGACGATCATAACCTGGGGGATTAAGCGTCGAGCGAGTAGAGCCTTAGGCGGTAATAGAAACCCTTTTGACGGGTCAGTATCGAGCTACGTAGCCTGCTTGCTCATCGCATCTCGGAGTAAAGTCTACAGTGTGTAGATACACACTGCTCTAATGATACATGTCAAGTCCAAGTCTATTTCAGACAACCAACTGACAACTGCCCCCAAACCAGCTGACATATTCCCAAGATCTTTGACTACAGATCTCAAACCATGTTAAGTTACCTTGCTTTCCAACAGCTACATATTTTTTTGTTCGGACTCGTTTCCCCTTGTAGCATCATACGATATCATGTATCTCCGTCATTGCTTTACTCCCTACAGCAAGCCTTGATCTAGTCGATGTGAACCAGAAATGCCAGCCATGCTTATTAAACTACCGTGATGAGCTATGAACACTGCTCAGTCATCAGTTGAACAAAAGACGACAGTTTCTGTCAGTGTTTAATAACTTCTTTGAATATTAAGTCCCAGTATACATATTACTGAGAAATAACGGTTCACATTTGCACCCTAATTGACACAATAGTATGCAGCATCCCTTAAATAGGGTGCATATTTGAACCTTCATAGATTCAATTCTTCAACGCGTTGCACCTTAAAAGGTGCAAATTTGCAGCTTAGAGGTTCAATTTTGCACCCCTAGGGGTGCCACTACTGTACCAACTCCAAGGTGCAAAAGTTAACCTTTATTTCTTAGTGATCCGGGTGAGTAAAAATAAAAGGAAACCCAAATGTCATGACCATTTTCTTAATAAAGTTCTGCATGTAGCACTTTCAAAATCTAGGATAAGAAAGCCCAATTAATAAGCTTTCTTTTAGTACAAGAATCGCTCAAATCACTCATGTACTTTTCAAGTTACGGAATTTTAAACACAACCACCGTTTTAAAGTTCTGTCCACGGATCACAAAAAAAGGTGTGTTCTTTCAGCAAAACGAAAACAATTCACACACATTTCTTGTGAATTGTTTTCGTTTTGCTGAAAGAACATGAACTTGAAAAGTACAAGAGTGGTTTGAATGATTATTGTACTAAAAGAAAGCTTGTTAATTGGGCTTTCATATTCTAGATTTTGATAGAACTTCATTACAATTGGTCCTGGCATTTGGTTTTTTTTTTTTTTTTACTCACCCTGTATGTTAGCTCTTGAGTGATGTATTTGGGAGCACGAAACAGGAACTGTTGTTGGATGCGGCTACTCAAAGGTTGACACCTTCCCAATACTATTAACCTATTAAACATGTAGAAAGAAAAATCCTTCTTCTGATTTGATCCGAATCGGTATGGTGGCCTTTCAACAGGCGGCAGTGACGTTCAAGAATGTGTCAGTTAAAAGCCTATCCAGAGATAAGTGGTTTATAGATACACTTTATCGACATACGGCGTGTTTGTAGTAAAATCTGAGAAAGGTTAAGCAAACAGGTAAAATATTTTGGTAAACCAACGAAGAGAATAAGTGAATCACAAACAGGGATACCTATTTGTAAACATCGTGTTGCAAAACATTTGCGAAGACTAATGTAATTTTGAAATCACGCACCAAAAAAGTTGAATGTCATCGAGGAACAAAACTCCCGTTGCATGAACAGAACTTTGCGGAGAAGTTTACCAAAAGCTGGAAATTTCAAGTAAACTCTTCTAGTGCTTGTAACAGCTTAGCGTTGACGTTCAAGCGAATTACATCGTATCGGATACGGCAGAACATAAGCTAAATGATGCCTGGGCGTGTACCATCACGCCTCGCACCGGGGCTCCTGGTCTTAAATTTCCGTAATCAGACCGTCTGGAAATGGTCGGTAATAGAGTGGGAGTCGATGGCAATTGAAATAGCCCTGCAGGCGAGATGGCCATCGGAGACGATGATAGATTTTCCTTTCTGTGATCGAATTGCCACTGTCTCGAAGTGAACCCATCTCCACTTTATAATCTGCTTACGATCTTATGCCAAATTTTTTTAAGTAAAGTTCCCACGCGCTAAGCACGTCTATGTTCAAATTTGATCGAATGCTTTTCCATCACCGCCATGCATTACCTGTTTACAAAGACGGTTGGTCTTAACTGCACAACTTATTAACACTGCTAAGGAGGTTATGCTTTCATCGTGTTGGTTGGTTGGTTGGTTGGTTTGTCTGTTAACAAGATAACTCAAAAAGTTATGGACAGATTTGCATGAAATTCTGTTTAAGGGTGGTCCTTGGTACAAGTACAAATCGATTACATGTTGGAAGTGATCCGGGTCTGGGTCTGGATCCAGGGTTTCTTTTAAGGATTCTTCACCATTTATGCGAGTATTTCTTTTGGGTGTACTGACAATATGGCGGGGAATTGTTTAACCTTGACGGAGGTTTGCGCTCTCTGAGTAGTTAACAAAAGTATTCAAAATAAATAACGTATTCCGAAATGTAAAGATGCTATATTTTTTCTCTTTTGTCGTCCTTGCTGAAAATATAAATAAAAGTTTTTGCATTTTCTCAGTGTTTTATCTAAAGTCAATAGTTACATTTTTTATTATTACATTATTAAATTTAGAGATTCACGGCACAGAAAGGCTTAAAAATGCATGGATTCCCGAAAGACTTCGACCAGATGACGACTTGCTGTCTGTCATTGTTTTGTTGTCTTCCAGAAGAGACAATCAATCTAGTACTTAAGATCAAGGATCTCTCTGGAGAACAAAGTCTTTGTGATGTTTTTCCCAGCCCAGCTTCGTACCATGAACCAGATATTATATTATAAAATCGATGGTAATAACATATTAACGCTGGGAGTTTAATTAGTTGATGGAACAATCGTCTGCTGGTTCATACACGTAATGATGATGAGACGAGGCAAATATCCACCCAAGGCCAACACAGTTACTATAGCATGCCGTGGTATAACATCATTGTTATATCAACAAGCAATCAATGAAAGGATAGTGTGTGACTGTTGTTCTAAGTGTTGTCAATGCATAGATAATAACGGTGGGAATAGACGAGACAACAATACACGCGAAGACGTTCCCTCACGAGATACAGTCATTTAATTATTTGGGAAACGCGTGTGACAATGGTGGCCACGTGCTGTTTTTAATAATTATGACTATCATCGGTGGATGAGAATGCACGTGACATGTGACTAACGTGTATCGGTGCTGGGATAAGAGAAAGGACGCCAGTCGTTAAATGAAGATCACTTCTTGAGTTGATTGTCTATGGCAATGTTTGGACCAAGTATCGGAATTGGAGGTGGAAATTCTGTGTGTGTGTAAAGAAATTTTACTTAAAACGTGAAAGCATTTTACTAAACGGTTCACTGAAACTTTGTTAGACCAGGCTTTTCTTGAGTCTCGCAGTCATTTGGCATAAAAATATTACCTACAGGGTGTAATAAATATGCAGTACCAAAAATAATTATGACTGGCAAGCCAATTTCATAAACTACTTAAAGATGAAAACAATTATTCAATTGCTCAATCCGTTCAAATTATATCGCCATTTAAACGAGATGACCTTAAAATCTGTTTCGACCAAAAATGCGATTTCAAGAATTGTCGTTACATTTGTCTTTAAACATTACCAGCGATAAAACGTCAGTTTAAAAGTTAAAAA